ACAGGGTGCCCAGACCCAGGACCATGACAATACTGCCAAATCACAACAACAGTTCCCTCAAGGCGCTTTATACAAATGACTTGCAAATCTCATAAACTCATTTTATTTTATTCACAACACAATATAGAATATGTAAAATATGAAAACATATCAAGTATTTAAACTGACAAAGAAAAACACTGGTACATTTTGAATTTGATGGGAGCAACACATCTCACAAAAGTTGGGACAGGGCCATGTTTCCCCCCGGGTAGTGTCCCGTTTTCTTTTAACACGCGTCCGTAAATGTCTGGTAACTGAGAAGATCAGCTGCTGGAATTTTGGGAGGAATGTTGTCCCATTCTTATCTGATAGAGGATTTTAGCTACTCAACAGCCATATGTCTTCTTTTTCATATTTCTTATTTCATAATGTGCCAAATGTTTTCAGTTATTGAAAGATCTGGGTCAGTCTGCAGACAAGCCAATTCAACCCCCAGATTCTTCCACTACAAAGACATGCTGTAGGAATAGATTAAATGTGCAGTTTAGCATTGTCTTGCTTAAATATGCATATTATGCACACAGGGAGCATATTTTGCTCTAAACCTTTCAGCATTGATGACGCTTTTCCAGATGTGAAACCTGCCAATCCCCCCCTGACATTTACGTTTTCCAAAAAGATTATCTAATTTCAATTTGTCTGACCACAGCACAGTTGCTCCACAATTTGCAGATTTTTTGCAGATTGTTGTAGCTACATAGCCATTCTGACATCACCTGTTGGTTCATAAATGTCCATTCTGAAGTCTCAAGATCAACCTTTCCACCATCTTCATCGCAAAAAACAGTGATGGACCCTGACAGTGACGATGGGCACCTCTGACTGTGAAACCACTTGCTAGTACGCTCACAAGTCGTTAGCCAATGAGAAAGCAGATAACACAACAGCTCATCCTGCTTTATGTAACATGGTATGATAATGTTTACAAAACAAATTTAATCTTTTATTCAGTATGACCCAAAATGCATGACTAGGTCAAAGAACACAGTAGCAAAGTGTTTGCAGAGGGGAACACAGAAAGCCTATAGACTTCTATAGGACTGGAAGTGTTTTTGCAACCTCAGCTAGTGCCACCAGGTGGCATGGATGGATATAATGCACTTCCATATCGGCTTCATTTTTTTGACCAGCAATCTATGGCAATCTTTTTTTTTTTTCCATCTATGTTACGCTGAGAAATTCTGCATCTAAGATGCTGCTTTTATAATCATGTTACTAACCTGTTGCCAATGAACCTAATTAGCTGCAAAATGTTCCTCCAGACATTTTTTTCAGTACCACTTACTTTTCCAGACTATTACTGCTCCATTCCAACTTTTTTGACATGTGCTGATATGTTCTATTGTCAATATAATATGGGTTTATTAGATTACACGGTTCTGTTTTGGCACTATATACATAAAAATTGAATTAAGTTGAAATTTACATCACACACACGTTTTCCTTAGGATCACTTTTTTTTTTGTATTTTAACAAAACAGCCAAATAAATGAGTCTCAGCAAGAGTGTTCCTCTCAGTTTTGCCAAAGAGATCAATGGAAATATTGTGTCAACTACATTTTCTCTGCATGTCTCTCACATCCCACCCTCAGATGTACTGCTATATCCAACTTCAGCTCAAACAATTCCCTGTTTATTTCTCTCCCAGAATGATACTGAAAGCAAGAAAACTTGATGAATTAATGAAAGATGCTCGGTATATGGCTACAGTCTGTAACCCTATGCTAATGCCATTACTGGTATAAGGCATTTTGCACTACACAATTAACAATGTGACATTTGAAGACCTTGCAAACC